CGAAGTTCGAAGGATTTTTTTTAAGATCTTAGGACTTCCCTGAAGTTCAGGGTTTTTTTAAACTCAGGAATTTCTTAAGTATCGTAGAAGTACCACGAAGTTCGTAGAAATTCTCAGAAGTTCGTAAGACTTCCTTCAAGTTCGAAGAACTTTCTCCAATATCTGAGGACTTCCCTGAAGTTTGAAGGACTTAACTGAATATATGAGGACCCTACATCGAAGGGTTTTTCAAAAGTTTGTGGGTCTTTCCTTAATTTCTTGGAAATACCCTGAAGTTTGGAGAGCTCCCATGAATTTCGTAGGACTACCTGTAGTTCAATCGACTTCTCGGAAGTTCTAGGAACTTTTTTGAGCTTGGAGAACTATGTTAAGTTCAGAGGACTTCCCAAGAGCATTGAAGACTTCTCTGAAGCTCGGAAAAAATCCATAAGTGTCATAGGATTATCCTTAAGTTTTAAGCAATGACTAAATGTCGTAGAAGTTACATTAAATCTGTAGAAAATTCTGTAAAATTCGTAGTTATTCCCCAAAGATTAAAGGACTTTCCTGAAGTTCGTAAGACTTCTCTGAAATTTGTAGAACTTCTCTGAAAGTTCGGAGAGATTTCCTGATCGTCGTAGGTCATCACAGTAGTTCACAGGATTTTCCTGAAACTTATAAGACTTTCCCGAATTTCGTAGAGCTTGCATGAAATTCGAATGCCTTATCTGAAGTTTTTAGAAATAGAACATTTTTAATGAACATGCTGAACAGGTACCTCAAAGTAGCTACGCGTTGGCACTGCTTAAGTCAGCTATCAATTAAGCACAAATCATACATGCAATTGATTCGCGAAAAAAATTAAATTAAAAATGTATACAAAATATATTTACTAAATTCTCAGGGTAAATTTTGTTCATCAATGTTTAGTTGTGTGAAAGATATAGCTTGAACAAAATGGTTAGTTTTGACCTGATTATAAAAAAGAAACTTTGACATACACAAAATTTAAAACCTATTTAAATTATTCAAACAAGATTATTTTCCTGGTGGACTTATGAAATTCCTGGTTTTTCCCGGTTTCCCTGGTGAAAATAAATTTCCGAATTTTTCCCGGTTTTCCTGGTTTTCCTGGTTCACTTGTCACCCTGCAATAGCGACCAAAAATATCCATTAGTACCGACCCAATTACGCGTTCATCTAGACAAAATTGATAAAAAGCAGATTTTTAGCGATGGGCCCAATCTTAGATCCATAGGTCAACATTAAAGACATTTCCCCTAATGTTCGAAAATCCCTCTTTTGTTGACCGTTGGATTTACGGGAAGGTGTTTGTCAAAATTGATTCATGGTCGTTAGGAGATAAGTAGCTGGTATAATATCAGGTTTATTTGAAAATTTTCCATCTGTCAAATTTATGTGAAAATTCACCAAATGGAGCAATGTAGCAAATTATAGCACGAAGCGCGCAACACGTTTGGTTTGGACGGGTCCATCACCCTCACTCCCTCTCTTTCCGTTCCAGCGTCAACAGACCTGTTCTTCACTGATCGACGTTTAAACCGTTTTCATTTTTTTAATCGGTCGGATCAATTCCACCAAGGCAGCAAGCGAGAATAACCGTTCATAGCTCTGCTAGGAATGACTAAGACGGAACGCAGACTGGTGGTCTTCGCTGGCATGCTTACTGGAAGTTCTCTATATCGGCGGTTGTTCCAGCTAAAATAATGCTTTCCATAATTTGTCGGTCAGATTGATGTTTTCATCGTGGTAGCGACTCTGTTCCATGGAAGATCATAGTAGTAACCAAACAGTTATGGTGAATACCTTTCGAATTGTCCAACAGATGCGAACTTCCGAATTTCATCCAAAAACGGGAACAGCACTAAGTTTCTAATCGTGCACTCCCCAGGATCATATAAGGGGGTTAAAAGGAAAAGGGTGTTGAACGATTTTTTCATCGTCTTTCTCTTTTGATAGCCACAGCTTTATGAACAGATTTTGCGCTATTTCTGCCACATAGTTTGATAAAGGAGGTTCTCATCTAGCATCCAGAATGGCACACGAATCAAGGAATGTGTTTGCAGCTGAATTAATAACGAAAGAGAAAGTTGATAAAGAGAATCGATCAAAGTCACTTACACCCCTTTCCTTCTAACCCCCTCATATAAGATCAAGCTCTACTCATTCTCTTTGTGGGAGTGTACATCCTCCAAAAATCCAAAAATCAGAAGTGGAAGACAGCACTAAACCACGAAAGCGATCCAATTAAGGAGTTTATACAATTCTCGAAACATTTCATTCAAAACACCATGATGATAGTCTGGCAGTATATCTCAAATCCACAGTCGATCTATCCAACACTGTGACGTGTTTTATTTCAGTTTATATAACCGTCATATGACAGGTTTTGGTCGTAAAGAAGCTTACTCAACATAATTGCATGAGGCTGAGTTACTTGGGCAAATGCCCTCGCAACTACAACATTTCTCCCTGCGTTTGCAAACCCGCCTTCTGATGATTCAAGACGCTCCGACTCTTACAGTTTGTTTCCAGATGCTCGCTTATCTCCCGGACCGTACGCTCAGCCTGTCGATAGTCTAATCTGCTTGCACCTGCCATCGTTGGCTCTGCAAAAAGACGTACATACACAGTTCGAAAAAGTAGTGTAAATTTCTGTTCAATATGATGCACATAAATAGAGCGTCACATATCATAGATGTTTACATTATAAATCGTGTAAAGTTGTGATACATTTCATGAAAAGTTGTAAATATTGTATACAAAAGCCCATATTTGTAAACAACATTGCTTACCAGTTGCTCCTTTGCGTGAAATGAAATACGAGTTTCCATGAATGAATGTTTACATCACAAATAAAATTCAGAATTTTTGCTGTGTATTTAACACTCCGAACACGATTGAAATTGGCAATTTTTGAAAATTCATTTCTCAGCAATTTATCGACAGATTTTGAATCTATTGATGCCAAATATTTAATGTATTTAATTTGAAATGGCGCCAATACATTTTAAATTCTTAAATAAATGGCTTAGCTTTGATTTTTCAAACATTACAAGTTTTCCGTTACACATTTTACCGGAGACATCGTGTTTGGAGTGCTAAGGTGTGCGTGAAATATTTCGTGTACACTGCGAAAGCCTGGATACTCATTTTTCTAATACAGAACTGCTTAAGTGACGCGGTCCGCAGGTCCAATCAAATCGCTGCTGACTGATGAAGAAGTAGTTGGTGAACTGCAACGCCAAATCCGACTACATTGTATCCGTTAGCATTCGGCACCTGTCCCGAAGTAACCTCCATCGCATGAAGACAATATTCGTAGTATAGCGGTAGGAGACTCTTCCCTCCAGTTCATTCGGTGGCTTTTTGCCCTTCTGCACAATGACAATTGAAATCACATCATACAATAATTAAACACCTTCGGCATTTTCTTGAAGCAGCAAGCAGAAATAATAGGATCTGTTGCATTCTGAACAGCTGGCTTGACTGACACTTAAGGTCCAAACGCAATGTGGACGGAAGCGGAACGGAAACGGAAAGTTTGACAGTTGTCACAAATGACATCAAGATGCCTAACCTAAGTCGATTTGGTTCAAACAAGTTTTCAATCCGACAAGTAGCCTACTTACACGGTAAGAAAAAATACTCAAAATTAAGTTTAAAAAAACTCAACGTTGGGTTCTATCATTTGAGGTCCGCCGTTGAGTGAATCAGAAAAGCGACGTTGATTAAAATTTACTCAACTATTGAGTAATAATAAATGAACTCAAATATAAGTTTATTTTCATTGAGGTTGCTCTTATGCGCCTTTAACCATTTCATTTTCACAAGCGTTGATAGACGAGTGGTCAACACACGGGCCCCGTAATCTCAACGTCCATGGTTCGATTCCAGTCTGCTCCGTTTTATTATTTTTTTGTCAACTTGGTCATGATCAGGATTACTCAAAATTGAGTTTTCTTCTTTAACTTAATTTTACCTAGCCCCACGGAAGCCACGTGATGAGTGAAAGGAACTCAATTTTGGGTACTTTTTTCTTACCGTGTAGATTGGGATTTTCCGATGCCGCTGCCGTTCCGCTTCCGCTGTCATTGCGCTTGCCCAAGCGCAATGACAGCGGAAGCGGAACGGCAATGGCAGCGAAAAAGCGCGATCTGAGTAAGCCAACTTGTTGGATTGAAAACTTGTTGGAACCAAATCGACTTCGGTTAGACATCTTGATATCATTTTTGACAACTGTAAAACTTGCCGTTTCCGTTCCGCTTCCGCCCACATTGCGTTTGGACCTTTATGCACAGAGGCAGTACAGTGCTACCAGTTAGCTAATTGCTCAAGTTAATATATTTCAATCCATTTCTCATTCAAAAAGTCATTTAGTCTAGAAGAGTTTATATAGACTTAAACACATTATGTGATTGTATAACTCAACGAAATTCATAGCATCGGATACTTCGAAAAGCTTTCAAAATCTTTGACATCAGAAAATAGTTAAAAGTTGGGTACTGGCAAATTTGATGCATCCTAAGAATTTAAATTTAGCAACATTTAATAACATTCGTGAAGTTTCTTGATTTTTTTTAGAGTTACTGTATTAAGAAGGGTATTCTTCATCAAGCTGAAAAGATGTGGTGAAGACATATTCTCAATCTCTTGGAAGACTTTTTATAAAAACACATGGTAGCCCTGGTCAATAGCTGTGAGCAATCACGTGTATGAGTGTTGGGCGCATTTGCGAGTGATTGTCAACGGTAATGTTCGGAAGCTGGCACTGACAATCACGACCAGTCTCCCATCTGTAGCTGCTGGCATTTCTAAAAAATCTCACTCGCCGTTTTCTGGAAGGATTTTTGAACCATAAGGTTCCAACAGACCTGTACCGGCTGCAGATCAGTGGTCATCGAAGGAATCGGCATTTGAAGAAACCGACGAGGATGTACTCTGTAGAAAAGATTGTTGCTAGCGCCTGCTGATGCAAGAAGAGAGAGGTGAGCCGGTAGTACGCACGTGGCCTACAGCGGATCAACGGCAATTGATCGACATGCGTCCGTTGATCTACTGGCCACAGGACTTGGCGAGACGTACGGAGTGACACCAGCGTGATTCGAAGCAAACCAGAAATCCTAGTGATAACATTTTTAAAACCACGTCAGGAAAATTCAATCTAAGCAACCGACAATTATTGCATAACTGCATAGTTTTACAAACGCGAAACATGGAAGACGTCAAGGTGAACCCACTGCCCAATCAAGGAGCCGGCGATGCCATCCCATACCTCGATATTCCTAACCCTGTTCCACAAGATATGTAAGATTTCGACTAAATTTGAATAATTGACCAAAAAAACAACCTTTTTTCCTCCGTCAAACAGTTCCCCGGAAATCACCTCCATCGAGCACCGAGAAGAACCCCTGCCTTCCCCACTAGTGGCGACGGATTCCGGATTCTCCGAGTCACCTCCAACCAGGCCCATATTTCTGCACCAATGCGGCCAGTGCCCCTCCCTTCCATCATTCCAGTCCGATTGTTTGAAGGTATGCACCTGGCTACGGGCCACAAATACGAACTTCCACATCTTCAACCACAAGCTTAACTTCGATGGACGCTTCCCCATGGTCGACATCGGAGATGTGGAAATCTGCAACTCCGGTCAGGTCCTGACCGATTTAACCGGTCAGCTCAACCGGGACCTGGATGCTGAACTTTCTGATGAGCAGAAAATACTGGCCTTCAGTTTGGGGTCCCTGATCGAGAACACCCTGGCCCGAGAACACCGCGAATGGTACCGTACCAAGCGCGCCGATCTGATCCGGGCCTACAAAATCGATCTCAGAAAGTCCTTGAAGAAGATCCTTCCCAATGCAATTTTGAAGGTTTTCTTCAAAAATTCTTCTTCCAAAAAACCAACAACCAATCAAATAACCGTTCCTGAGTCGACCGTTGTCCTGGAAATGCTTTCGAAGCTCTTGTCTTCGAAGAATTACTTCTTCGGACAGGACATCGTTAGCAGCCTGGACGTGGTGGCTTTCGCTGTTCTTGCCCCGATGCTGGCCATTGCCGGGAAAGTACGCTACGATCCACGGGATGCTGTCAAGCAAAATTTTGAAAACCTGGTGGCTTTTGTGGACCGGATTAAGGACCGATTCTATCCGGACTGGGAGGAAATGTGCTCCGAAGGTTGCGAGGTAAATATGAATAGATTAATAGAATGCTTGATCAAGTCGTAGAGTCGTTGATTGTCTTCTCGTTGAAAGATTTATGAACGACCGAAACAAGAAGCGGTCATTAAGCTGAGCAATGAAATGCCAGGTTTGCTGCCCACGGAAAATGAAGGCCAAGCTAAGCCCTTGGAAACTGCGCTTTAGTTTGTTTTTATAATTAAGGTGTTAGCTATTTAACTTGATTTAGATTTAGCCGAGAGTTGATCCATTTGTTAATATATGAGTGATAATTATAACAAGCTTCACATTTAGTATTTTGCTTAACAACTTTGAACTGGTGACTTAGGCCTTTTCTATGCGGCGTGTGAGGTGAGGTGACTTTTGAAGTGACCATTGTCACCTCGGGTGAGGTGACGCCGCGTGTAAATCAAATGGAGAGTCACCACACCTCATATGCCTCGCAGAATAGGCTTAAATGATGTCGTGCTGTATCGATATTGCAAAACAGTTGATGAACAAAAGCACGTTTAAAAAAATTCTTTTCCATTTTAGTCTGTTATTTGAACTTAGCATCTTGAACTAAAGAATTGATGATCATTGAAAATGAAATATCATGGTTCTTCGTTAAAATATACCAATCACATGCAATAAAGCATCAACAAGTAAAGTAAACATTATGTTTGACAGAATCTCTAAATTCATCAGCAGGTAAGGCTTCGAACCGTGCGCTGCAAACTCGTTTCACTTGAGAATTGTCAAAACACCGAGTGATTCGTCAATATTTATCTATCATCACTAACATCACATCCCCAGCGTGTACGAACATTTTCTCACAAATCCATACGGTCAAATCCCACCGAATACCCAAAACAAAGCGCCGAGGCTGGCATAATATATTCGAATTCCCCTTCATTAGAATTAATTTACTCACTTCGGGCGACGCAGCTGATTTTCCCGTCCTCACGACTCTCACCAATTTACTATTACTCTACACTCACTCACACAAATCTTCGGGCTGCTGCAAAATTGCACCTCGCTATTGCGAATACACGATCTCTACCGGTTTCTCACTCAAATCCTCCTGGACTGTTATCGATCGATTGGGGTTCGATTTCTTCGCACCCAGCAGCAGGTAGGAGAAACGAACGGTAAGAAATCTCACCACCGGGTAAAACTTGCTAATTATTCACCGTGTTGTCACAATTTACATAGCACAAACGACGACAAACCAGTGGTAATCACTGATGACATCATCCGATTACACGTGTGTGTATTCGACCTAAGCTCACTTTCTCACCGTGTGCTCACTAATCAGCTGCGCGCGAGTTCACATGAGAGCATGAGGTCGTCGGTCGTGGCGTCGCGGTAGGCAGAGATCTCTATGACGTCACTACTGTCGGTCGGCGGGTGCACGCTGCTGCAACTCGTTATTATCGTTATTATTGCACACTATGGTGACCTACAACAAGATCTCGGTGCACTGCGATTGATCAAGATCTGTCATAAAAGGGTATGGAGCGAGCGCCACGAGCAATCAATTATGAGCAGCAGGCCTTGCACTGCACGGCGAGGTCTTCTGGTTCGGACGAGATTCTGAAAACTCCAAAGATGTGCTGCGTTCACGTTCCGGAGTTATGGTTTTGCGATAATGATCTTCTAATTGGCGATGATGGATGGGAAGCTGTGCCGCTGCTGTTACTGGGGAAGTTGCCTAAGCGCATCGCGGGTAAACTTCCAATTTAGAACCGTCAAAACGCAATCACTCAGTAGGCTTCCCTTCTACGCTTTTTTTTGGGTTAGATCAACAAACGCGCACTTTAATGATATTTTAATTTATTCAACACTCGTTTCTTCGACTTTTTGGGGATCTTCTTCCTGGGGTCGGTGGAAAGGTTATGAACACTTTTGAAAATATTTGTATTGATTTTTTTCCCTGTTTCTACCAACAAAAACAACCGCGGCTTCACATCCGAAAAGCAGCTTGGCATCGAATTTTATTTTTAAACTGTGTTGAAAAGTCCAACGTGACAACGTCAAGCTGATAAGAACGATGAACAAGTGAGAAGAGAAAAATATAGACAGTTAGTTTTTACGATTGATAAGAGATACACGCTCCTAACCAGAAAAGAGCTTACCACGCGGACTACACAGTTGTCGAAGATAAAAAAAAGAAAGGAAAAGTAAACAAAAGCGACGAAAATTCCCGCGAAATCGAGATCAAAGCGGAAAACCGAAATGGAAAATGTCCTAATCGCGACGAAGGCGACTACTTTCACGGTGACACCGACTTGGGCCGTGTTTTACCTGCTGAAGCACGCGACGACCGACAACTCCAGAAGCGAGCTCAGAGAAAGAAGCGATAGAGAGAGTTAATCTAGTCAGTGTGCCAGGGAGATCTGTTTGTGTTTATCGTTCGAGCGGTAACGCGATACTAGTGGTTCGCGACTGGTTTTGGCTCGGCTGGCTCGCGATCGACGACAAAAGCTGCGCGCTGCGATGATACCCGCAGTGAACTCTATGGAATATGGGGAGTCGGTGTGTATTATTCTATACACCATTGACTGACTGACTGACTGTTCTCTGTCGTTGCCTGCCTGCCTTGCCTGCCTATACACACATAGATGTTTGTTTTCATTTGAGCTGAGCCGGTCGTCGTCGTCGTCGTTGTTGTTGTTGTAGGTAGTTGGCGTGCGGCGCTCGCGGTATGGCTCAGCTGAATCCACGAGGGACGCGGAAAGGGTTTGAAGCATGGAGATTCGACTCGGTATATGGGATTTTATTCATGCGATGCCATGTGTATAGAACGGTGGGAAAGAGTGATCAGAGAGGGAAAACTTTCGCAGCGTCGAGCGGCGAGGCAGAAGGAGTGGAGCGGATGTGCTGGGTCGATCGGTCGGTCGGTCGTTTAGCTGGAAGGTGCGGATCAAGTGGGTGCGGTTGGTCATTGGTTCGAATGTATGCTGCTGTTTGTAGTCAGAACGCACATATGGGTAATATGGGTATGACGAGGGCAGACGAGTAGCATATTCATACACAGAGATCGGATGGGTGAGGTAGCCGGAAAGAGTGAATGACAAGTGAGCGACGGGAAAATCTGTATTCTGTAGTGGATTAACCCTTTGGTGACTGTGGAAAATTGTTAACTTAAAGAATTAATTATGACTTAAAGTTTATTCGTCAGGCAAATCTTGGATTTTCTGTTTATAAGAGGATATCAACATTTTATGTACTTCGACTACATGTTGAGTATTAATTCTGCGTGAAGTCAATGATTTACATAGTTGAAGATGCTAATTTCAAATAACAGACTGTAGTGGTAATCAACTTTATACTTTCATCTACTCCATCTATCGTATAAAAATTACAACTACAGTCTGTTATTTGAAATTAGCATCTTCAACTATAACATTTTATGTATTTGTTACATTTGGCTTCAATGCCCTCAATGTGATATTTAAAAGATAATGTTTGGTTTAGTACTAATCCATGATATTTAACTTGGTTTGACCAGGAAATTGGAACTTCAATCATAGACTATGTGACTACTACTAGATTTCGAAAAGGAAGCTCTAGACTAATGCGGAAATATTATATTTAAGCTGAGTTTTGGAAACGTTGGGAGAAATCATCCATTTTTCTGAATAAGAAGAGAAAATATCTCAACTGTTCTCCAGTCTACTGCAAATAACACGAAGTCTTTTTCCTTTAGCTGATATGCCTGTCATCAGCGAACAAATATTTGTAGCAGCCCTGAGGCAAATCAGGGAGGTCAGAAGTGAAGATGTTATTCAATATTGGCCAAAGAATGCTACCCTGAGGAACTCCTGCTCCAACAGGCAGTCGATCAGATTTGGAATTTTGATAATTTACCTGCAGAGATCTGGCAGTTAATTAATTTTGAACTAATTTCATAATATAGAGTGGAAAATTATACTTTTTCAATTTAGCAATCAAACCTTCATGCCAAACACTGTCGAATGTTTTTTCTATGTCTAGAAGAGCAACTCCAGTTGAGCAGCCTTCAAAATTGTTTGAACGAATTAAATTGGTAACTCTTAAGAATTGATGAGTAGACGAACGCCCATGTGACGAAATCCACTGCTCACCTGCGAAAATCGAGTTTGTATTGATGTGAAGCATCATTCTATTCAAAATTATTTTTTACCTATTGATGAAAGCAAACTTATTGGACGGTAGCTAGAAGCTTCAGCTGGATTTTTATCCGGCTTCAAAATTGGAACAATTTTTGCATTTTTCAATTTATCAGGAAAGCATGCCAAATGAAAACAAATGTTAAATGATTTTACCATGAAAGACAAATTACTCTCTGAATCGTTCAACTTTTGGGATTGAACCGACGAAAGCAAGCTGCAATTATCGCTGGAATGGGTGGCTCTACTGTCAACAGTACCTACTGCACCGTAGCAGATTTCAGTTCTGTTAATTCCACCTACTCTAACACACTGACGTTCAGCATCGTCTCCAAGATCACCAACGATCTGCCTTCTCGGGCAATCGACATTTCGCAATGGAACCTCCCTCCTGAGTTAGTCTTGGCAGACCCAGATTTTGCTTCGCCGCAAAGGATCGATATGGTTATCGGTGCTCAGCTGTTCTTCAGCCTTCTGCAGGAAGGACAGATCCCAGTAAATGCTGGTCCTTCTGAACACCAGCCTATTCTCCAACGTACCGTGCTCGGATGGGTAGTAAGTGGACCTGTTGTCATCGATACCGCTACCCAAGGACCTGAGCGAGTCGCTCTGTTGTGTACCACCGATGACTTGGACCAACAACTGACTCGATTCTGGGAAGTCGAGAGTTGCCCTCAAAGCCGTGGACTGTCTAAGGAGGAATTAGCTTGCGAGATGTACTTTTCCGAAACCACCACCCGCGACGATTCAGGTCGATTCGTTGTACGCCTGCCGAAGAAAGAGCACGTCTTGAGTCAACTTGGTGACTCCGAGATCGGTGCCCGTCGCAGATTTCAATGGATGGAACGTCGACTCAGCAAAAACCCCGATTTGAAGGCCCAGTATGTCGACTTCATGGCAGAGTACATAGAACTTGGCCATATGGTTCCCGTAGATCCGTTACAAGACAAAACCCATACCCGCTCGTTCTATCTTCCCCACCACGCCGTGCTCAAGCCGAGCAGCACTACCACTAAGTGCAGAGTGGTTTTCGATAGGTCCAGCAAGTC